AAATCAATAATGATGCCTGAGAAACTGGAGTCTTCTCAGTTAAAGAGCACCAAGTACGTGCCCCGACTCCTCCCCTCTCTCGTGTATTGGCTGGTCTGCATAGTTCTTCAGAAGACCGATCTTACGATCTGGTGTGATGATTCCTTTCTTCTTTCTTGGAGAAGCAGAAGTGTGATTTTATCGATGAGCATTTCCTCTAGACAGGAAGTTTGCTCTGAGACTTAAATGGCACCAGTGAATTTTCCTGTGTGTTATCGTGTGGCCTTTTGATTAAGTGTGACCTAGTTAATAATCCCAAAATACACTGATCAGGAGCAAACAGGGAACTACCCACTTAGACATAAGGTCAAATCAGGCATTAGGATGTACTGACTTATCTTTCCCACAGGGGTTGATGGGATATAATAATATGGACCCTTTTTGCGTGAGGGTTTCTTTTGAACACATTGGTAGAAATTTATTACTGAGATCAGAGTTTCTCAGTATTAATACTTATTGGGGAACACGATTCAAGTTATCAGTGTGGGAGCCACAGCCATTCCCTGCTGCAGATAAAGCAAGACAGTTGTTTTGCTTGTGGCTACAGCTTCTCTTTTGCAGAGTAAATTTCTGTTTGCATTTAACTCTGCGGCTCAGTCTTCTTGCAGCTTCACTCAGAGAGCCAGTGATTACTATTAAGCCATGATTACTACACAGCCAGTTTGACTCTCCCGATCCAGCACAGTGCCTTGCCATCCCAGGTGCTTACTAAACGCCTGCTAACTAGATGGGATTTGAAAAACACTGAGACCTTCAGGTGCGACAGGAAGCTGTCCCAAGAGGCAGCTATGCAGCTAGGAAACAGGGCTGTGATTTTTCCATGCCCTTCATTGCCAGGTTCCCAGCATATAATCAGTGTTGGAAACTACACTGAGCTGATATTTGGTGGTAGTTTTGTCCGTCCTGCTTCTGTTTTTGGCAAATTGGGTCTGTGACAAGAGACCTGACTGATAGGGACTGTTCAGATGTTTGGCCCCTTAGGGGAATGTGGCTTCTTGGGGACCTCTGATGAAGCACTTTGCCTAACAAGGCAGGTTGTGTGTTTCCGTGTATCATGCCAGGTTTCAATTTGTTGGACTACTGAAGCAGAGAGGGGTGCCCTTTGGCCAGCAAGATTGCTAAGAAAGCCAGGAAGTCAGAGCTGCTGAGCAGAAGCCGGAGGTTGGCACAATGTGGAGGGTTATCATTCCTGCCGGCCGGGGCTGTTTACTCTGCCACCCTAAGGCTGGTGGCCACTGGGCGTGGTGGGCGTGCTTGCCTAAGTACCTGTTTGTAGAGCACGGAGACACCCGGCTAAGCTAAAACAGCAGTAACCTGAAACCAGTCATGTTGGTTTTCCTGCTTCAGCTCTGGCAGCTAAAATCTGCATTCCAGATGAAACCTGCAGGGAAGCGGAAGAAAGCACTTAAAAAAAAAAGCCTCAACGGCAGTAAATTAACTGCTTTTGAAGGTCCCGGCATTTTGAGATGATCTATTTCTCTGATTTCTTTGCTTTAGGCTTTGTATGTGGCTGTGGGACTTGCACTGCTTTGGTTTTTTTTTTTTTTGGCTTGGATGGCACAGGCTTCTGACCATGATTTAGGTGGCAAAAAAGGGCCGGTGAGAAGTATGCCAGTCACGTTCTTCTGATTCACTTTTGAATTTCTTGGGCAGCTCCGGGGGGTGCTGAGGGCTGTCAGGATCCGCTTGCCGGCTCAGCACTTGGGGAGCCTCACTTGCTCACCAAGGAGGAAGTTGAAAGCGACCAGGAGCAGGGCCGGCCGGCACTGGGGCGGAGCTCGTGGCAAGTCCTGGGCTGGGATGCCTGGGGGCAGGCTGACTTCCCCGACGACAAAAAGCCTTTTGTCCCCGGGAATAAATACGGAAGTCCCCGAGGAGCAGCCTCCCCAGGCCGCGTGTAGTAAGGTGCGCAGCCTCCGCGGCTTCTGCGCATAAAGCTCCTCGGACTGTTTACAGTCGCCCTGGGCGCCCCATCACCGCGCCAGCCGGAAGGAGGGCTGGGAGGGACGCGAGCCGGGCCAAGTGTGCTCGCTCTGCGGCTCAGCCCGACTGGCCGGTCCTGTTGCTCTCCGTCCTGGAAGCTAAGAGCCGATGGAGTGGAGAAGCTGAGCAAGCAGGGGAAGGGAACAGAAGTCAGAACTTCCACCCAGGGCACTGCAGCGACATGGAGGACGTTGGCAGCGCTCTGAATGGCAGTGATGGCTCGGAACCAGGACAACCCGAAGCCAGGCTTGACATGGCCCAGTCGATCCTAAGTAAGTTCTCTATGAGATCCCTGTTTGGGTTTACGAGTAAATTGGAAGCTGTGAAGCCTGAAGAGGAGGATGCGGTGCTGAAAGCCTTCCGCAGTTTGGTCGCGGATCCCACGCCTCAGCCGACTGAGCCCAGCTGTGGCCCGGATCCGCGCGAGGCAGAGGCTCAGGCCCCACCTGACCTCGGAAGTGATGAGAAGACTGGTAGGGTAGAGACCGAGTCGGAAACGGAGGGAAGTCGGAGAGAAGCGGAGGCAGGGATTTCTCTCCCTGGTCAAGAGCTTCTTCCACTCACTCCTTTGACCGTGAGCAGAGACAGTGTCATTTTGGTTCGTGGGACCCTGGTGACCACCACCAGTGATTCCGACTCAGATGAGGGAGGCCAGGAGCCGAAAGAGGGAAGCAGTGCTCCCAGCCCCAAGTCCCCTGGTGTCCTTTTATCTGAACCATCTGAGGTGCTCCAAGAAAAGCCAGGAGATGATGGGGAAAATATTGACACTGGAGAAAGGGGTGACACAGAGCTTTGTGCAAAAGTTCCCCAAGGGACTCCACCAGAGACAAGTGGCAAATCGGAACCTGAGGATGCTGGCCTTCAGACAAAACACAGCCCCAGCCAAGGCCAAGCTGATGAAGAGGGTTCCAGAGTTCTGTCTGTGGTATCAGACCAGAACGCAAGTGTTGGTGTCACTGAGAAGACCTCTTCTAAAAAAGAAGTCCCTGGAGAGAGGTCCTTCCAGCTTCCAGCTTTTTTTAGTGGGTTCCGCGTGCTGAAGAAGGGAGCGACAGCCGAGGGTGGGGAGACCATCACTGAAATTAAACCGAAGGATGGGGACCTGGCTCTGCTCAGGTTGACCCAGCCTGTGCAGAGGTCCTTAGCGCAGGCAGGGCCTCAGACAGTGAAGACTGGGGAGAAAACAGATGATCCGAAGGCCACTCCCACTCTCCTGGAGCAGCTCTCTCAGCTGCTCAGCATCGACGTTCCCAAAGCAGAACCCAAGGCAGAAGACCCTGAGCAGCCCAGCGGGGAAGACATGGGCTGCAGCGCTCCCCAGGAGAGTGAGAGCAGCCCGGGAGGAGCCCCCTCCCAGGGTGGAGAGGTGAAGCCAAAGCCGCAGGAGACTGCCTTGGAGGCCTTTAAAGCCTTATTCATCCGTCCCCCCAAGAAGGGGACCACAGCTGACACCTCTGAGCTAGAAGCTCTCAAGCGCAAGATGAAGCATGAGAAAGAATCTCTAAGAGCTGTGTTTGAGCGGTCCAAGCTACGGCCGGCGGATGGCCCCTCGGATTCCAAAAGCGTACGTAGCTTTGGGCTTGGGGTTTTGTTATAAACTGTGAGGCTGCTGTATTTCTTTTCAGGTTTCTTGTCGAGGGGAATCCCAGTTCCCTACAGTTAGTGACCCACTTCTAGGTGAAAGATGATTATAATCAAATTGTCCTTGTAAGGAGTGCAGAGTTGGACAGAAGCATTTTCTAATATTTTTCTGGATTGTTGTAAGAAGGGTATAAATAAACATGTGCAGGTCAGAAAGGGAAAATGCCGCTCTGAGTTTAATCATTAATAGTAAATGTTCTTACAAAAACCAAGCAGCCTGAAGAATCAACGCAATATGGAAATACAGCCCAGGCTTCCCCACCACTTAATTATATCTCTGTGAAAACTGTATTTTTCCTTTGAAAATCTGCCACTTGGCAAAATACATGTCTGTGATGTGATTAAAATGTTCTGCCTTGGTTTCAAGGCCTCCTAATTGATTGAGCACTGGCTTTCGTATGAGACTTGGGTTTTAATTCTAATTCTGTGGTTTCCTGCCTGGGTAACCTTGATTGTCTCTGAGCCTCAATCTCCTCATCAGCAAAATGAAGAAAATAACCTTCATCTTATATGGTTGTTGTGAAGATTAAATGAAGTTAACAAATGGTAACCATCTAATTAATGACAGCTGTTACTATAATTGTAAAATTTCAGGTAATTTGTAAGGACTAGCAAACACCTGTCCCATGGAACTTAAAGGTTCGTAAGGGCAATGAATAGAACTTCTTGTTTAGTATGAACTTGGCATACAATTATCATTCCCTCTTAAATATTTGATCAGTTAAAACATTAAGTTTAAAGGTCTTTGGAAAAATTATCTTGGGTTGCAGTTAAAAACTAAATAAAACATAGCATTCTCCTAGTTGTAAAAATCAACCCCTACAAAAATACCTTGAATGTGAAAGCCATCTCATTCATTAATTTTTGTAGGAAAGAAAAGAATTGAAATGATCAATGTGGGCTGCCTAGAGAAGTGTATCTTGGCCTATACCTAATGTTCATGGAAAATGCAGAGCTGGTCTTTCTATTATAACTCTGGAGTTGTTTGGGATACATTTGTAAACATTCCTATAAATGTAACCTTATAGTGCATTTGTACCTATAGCTTAAAGTATATTTGTGATTTTTTTAAAGAAAAAGTTATATGATAAAAATTTATTGAAGGTTGTGCAATACTTGGCCTTGAGTCTTTGTTTTCATGCCAACTGATCACTTTACATTTCTGGAAGAGGATTGTACTGTAGTGACACGTTTCAGTTACAGTGAATAAGGGCAGTGTGCAACTGGCCACTGAAATTAATGTTAGAGTTAGAGTTAGCATGCTTGTTCTCGGGAATGAGTAGTTCTGGCCACATATCATTTAACCGATTCCTTTCTTTGCCTACTTTTTTCAACAGCCTGACCACAGCCCCACTGAGCAGGATGATAGGACTCCTGGCCGACTCCAAGCTGTCTGGCCACCCCCGAAGACAAAAGACACAGAAGAAAAAGTGGGATTGAAGTACACTGAAGCAGGTAATGTGAAAAGAAGCCGGGCACCCAGGAATGAATCTCTTGATGCAACGGCTATTCGTTCTAGCTCAGTAGACGCTCAGAATTTGAGTTTTTGTTTCATTAGAAAATGTAATGCTGCAGCCTTTTCTTTTTGGTTTCTCTATTACAGTGAGCTCTTGCACACATATCATTAGTGGATCTCTTAGAGATGAAAGGTGAATGCAGTGGAATGAATGAAGTGGGGGCACGTGTGTAAAGGAGGGGAACCTTTGGGGACCTGATGGAGAAGGTAGATTACAGATGCCTCAGGAAGCAGGTGGCTGGCCCGCATATAAGCCTGTGTGAGCTGGCAGGGTTGCTGGAAGAGGCAGTGCGAGTCCCCAGAGCTGTAATCTGATTTGCTCTTTGTCTTGGAGTAGTGCTTTTAAGCTACAGGAACCTTGTACACAGTGACTGCATAGTTACCATATCAGTTACTCTTTCACTTTTGTTAGACAGAGCTTTATTTAACGCATGGCCAATTTTAAAGTGGTCTAACTCTCGGGAGACCTTCCCAGGAGCTTTGCTTGAATATATTCAAATAGAATGGGAATCTAGATATTTTTACTCTTTAAATGAAGGGGTCACTTGAAATTAAAAAATAAAAGGATGATATATCTTAATTGTATGTGTGTGTATCTCTCATGAAACCTCTTTGTCTTCCTGGTATTTGAAGATGACCTGTTTTGCTGATTGTCTTAGGGGTGTGTGTGTGTGTGTGTGTGTGTGTGTGTTGTCAGTCTGTTTGGTTATACAAAAATAGTTCATTCCTATTCATTGATAGGCATAAGAGGATAGAAGTCTGGGTGGTTTAATAATATATGGGCTTTCCTGCAGGATCATAAAATTACTTTCAGTGACTGAACACGCGTATGACTCAGTTCTACAACCTGATTGCATTCAGCCTTCACTGACACAATTCCCAACTTGTGACTTCCTCAAGACATCAACTACTTCATAGCATTTTTTTCTGCAGTACTTAGTTTTTATTCTGTAAGTCCTCATAGCCTCAGTGAAAATATATAAAGCTATTTCATTCTTCTTGCCTACGTTGGATTTTTCTAAAATTGGAATGCTTGTGATTGCAATATCGAACCACCTCCCAAGTTGTCTTTCTCATGATCTAGCACAGTTTGAATGGTGACAAGTACTGAAGTTTGCTTTCATGAAAAACAAGAATCCTGTGAATTCTTTCTCATAGTTGACTTTGGTGGTCTCTTGTCCCTACCAGTGTATTATGGCAGTCTTCCTTGTAAGATGAGCATTTGCTTGGTTGAGAAGGCAATAAATGTCATAAATGGCTTTTCAATATACTTCAAGTAGTATTTTGGTGCATTTATACCTCTATGGAGATTCCTTAGTCTTTGTGCTTGTCCTCTTCCATTTCCAGGAGCTCAGAAGAGAGCTGTAATTACCTCTCAGTGTAATTAATTATACTGAAAGTCAGTGGCTTTCCCACTCTCTCTCTCTTTTTTTTTTTTTTTGTCATGGGATGTGTGTTCTCAGAGCTTTGGTCTTGGATGAGATGGGGGATGAGAGGGAGGAAGCGGTGAATAATGACAGTTCTCTTGGGTGGGTTCTGATGGCACAATGACACCTTGCACAGAAAGAAGGCTGGCTGTTGGCTGGAGAAGGTCCCCAGCCAGCTCCCAGGGGTGGCGGTACTGCGGCTGACTTACAGTGCTCCCAGAGCCTTGTAGTGCTAATTACTCTGCTGATACACTTTAGGGGGAGGGAGTATCAAAGAAGATACCCCATGCCTGCAGGAAACTTATTTTTACCCCATTGCTCGATACCGGCGTATGGTTGCTTTGTCATTTATTGCTAATCTTGAGGAAGTTAACATTTTCCTTGTGATTTCCTTAAACGCTATAGTTGAGAAATCTGGAATCCTAGAAGCATTTGGTTTATAACTTAGGACATTTTGTGGTATTTCCATTGGTTTGCCTGCCCCTAGGGAAATAAGTAAGAATTGCTGCTCTGTGTGGAGCCTAAGAACAGAAAAATTAGATCTAAAACATTTCAAGGTGTTTGAAGTCTTATGCCTTAACATCTTCTGTGCTTTTTCTTTTTTTCTGGCATGCATTATTCATTAAATTAGTGAAATGGGAGATCAAGACCCCAGCATTCATATTTCAAGTGCGCTATAGGAATTCGGTGCTGTCGACATCGAAGCCTAGTCCTTGGCAGAGCTGGGAATGAGATGGTGTTTTCCATCACGAGTCTCTCACTGTCTTTGTGCTGCCCTCGGCCTCTTTGGACTTGCCACTGCTTGTGTTTCCCTCTATTCAGAGTTTCTCGTTCAGTGATCTTTTTCTGAGGCCTTAGGAGATCACTTAATATAGTAAACTTACTTTTTTTTCAAGGATACAAAGAAAGAGCTGATATAAGGGAAGCTGTCCCTTTAGTCTATGGCTTCTAGAGGCCTCTTAGCCATATGGGGGCAGCTGACCACTGCTGCTGGTGCCTGCTGCCAAGGATGCTGTCTCCTGCCGCCGCCAAAGCCACCAGCATCACCTGTAGCTGTGACACTTGGCCGCTGAAGTCTTTGGCTCCCAGTGGAGCCACTGATTCCATTCTGATGACACTGTGATCCCCCTCAAGGACACTTCCACTGCCGATCTGTGAGCTCTTGGAACCTAGGTGGTGGGCCAGTTGAGAGAGCA